GAATATATGCATATCCGCTTGTTGATCATGTTTGAACAAATATACTCGGACCGGTCACTGCACATGCACGTAGTGTCAAACTAAGATTCACATAGAGTTGTAGTTGTGGGGAAAAAAAGGGAAAAAATAAAAACTATGCAGATTTTCAACTAGTAATTGAATATAACCACGAAAGTAATTGAAATTTCGTCATTTTTTATGTAAAGATTAAATTTAAACAAAATATCCTTAAAAATTCGAAAATATTCCAGCATAATATGTTAGAGTTCGAATTTTTTGCATATGAGTTTCCACCATAATGTGTTGAAATTTCATAATACAATGGAGTTTCAACATAATATGCTGGAAGTTTATACGCAGAGACTCCATAATCTCGCTTGCATATTATACTGGAATTTTATGTATTTCAGCAAAATATAACTATTTTTTAATAATTTTATAAATTCAGACTACTTTTTAATTATCAATCTGAAAACTAACTAACTCGTGCTATTTACGTTAAGAAAAAATAGTCATATGCCCCAAATGGGCTATCCTGTCACTGCCTAATTTTTCCTTAAAACTTTGTCCTATGCTGCCGCTGCTGTTGCTGTTGCCAAAAGCAGCTGAAGATTCCAGAACCTCTTTGCCACCTTTGTTACACGCGTACAGTATACAATGTATTCTTTACACTTTGTGTTGTCTTTTTCCTTCTCTCGTTTTCAGCACCAAAAATGGTACAGAACCCTTTTGTCTTTTAGCTGTTTTTTGTTCAGAAAATTAGTATTGGATGACATCTCTGAAAGTTAAATGAATTAAATCTGAAGCTTAAGTAGGGCGTGATTCAATTTTTACATTTATATTTCGATATCGCAAAAGAAGCAAAGGAAAATTGTTAGCTGCCATGGGAGAGAGATCCGAGCTAGGAAGAAGAATCTAGAAGAGAGGAAATCAGAGAAAGAGGCTATTTTCATTTCTGAAAAAGAAGCTTAAGGCTAACTGTACAAACGACCACTACTTATAACATACTCAAACTAACTTTTTTAACTAACTATTAACTAACTCACTAACTATAGTTTAGCATTACACTTTATAAATAAACTATAGTTAACCATGCTGATTAACCCCTCAAGCTGATGGTTGATACAAATTCTTCAACCCCAGCTTGTTTAGCAAATGCACATGTTGAGCTCTTCCCAAGCCTTTTGTAAGTATATTTGCTAGTTGATACTCAGTGTTAACATACTCAGTCTTCAGCAAACCTTGACTTAGCTTTTCCCTAACAAAGTGGCAATATCAATATGTTTTGTCCTTTCAAGGAAGATTGGATTTGCTGCAATTTGGATTGCAGCTTTACTGTCACACGCCAAAGTTATAGGAAGCTCCATCTTGACACCAAGTTCACTGAATAGTCCTCCCAGCCAGGTAACTTTTGCTGCACATGAAGCCACGCTTCTAAATTCAGCTTCAGTAGAGCTCCTAGACATAGCGCTCTGCTTTTTAGATTTTCAAGATATCAGTGCACTTCCAAACTTTACCAAGTACCCTATAACTGACCTTCTAGTTTGTATACATGTCCCCCAGTCTGAATCACAAAAGGCACTTAGTTGATCTGAAGAGTCTGCATGCAAGAAAAGGCCCAAGCCAGGAGCTTCTTTTATATACCTTACAAGTCTCAGTGCTGCTTCCATGTGAGACCTCTTAGGACAATGCATATACTGACTGAGAACTTGAACCACAAAAGCAATATCAGGTCTTGTCATGGTAAGATACAAACAACCTTCCAATGAGTCTTTGATAAGCACCAGGATTGTCAAGATTTTCATCTATTTGGACACTGTCACTTTTGAAGTTATTATCATACTCTACTGAGGCTAGCTTCTGATTCACTTCTAGTGGTGTTCCAGCTTGCTTTGCACCACTCAAACCAAACTCAGAAATTAACTCTAATGCATATTTTCTTTGGCACATAAAAATCCCTCTTTTGGACCTTGCAAACTCAATTCCTAAGAAGAATTTAAGCTCACCTAGATCCTTCATTTTGAATTTCTTCATAAGATCTGATCTGGTACTGCATAATATTTTTTGATTGTTCACAATAATGAGGAGATCATCAACATAGACCAATATAACAACTATATCATCTCCATATTTCTTTGTGAACAAAGAATGATTATAATGACTTTGTTGAAAGCCCATGTTGAGTAGAGCTTCTGTCAACTTCATATTTCACTGCCTAGGTGCTTGGTTAAGTCCATAGAGAGACTTATGTAGTTTGCAAACCTTCTTCTTAGACTCCCCCTGTCTGGCAAACCCCTCAGGCAATTCCATGTAGACTTCCTCAGTGAGATCTCCATTTAGAAAGGCATTATGGACATCCATTTGAAAGATCACCCACTGTTTTGAAGTAGCTAAAGCAATAAAAGATCTAACGTTTACAATTTTGGCCACAGGAGAGAAAGTTTCTCCATAGTCCAATCCTTCCTTCTGGTTGTAGCCTTTGGCCACAAGCCTAGATTTTAACCTTTCCACTTCACTAGAGGCTTTGTATTTGATTCTTTAAACCCACTTGTACCTAATGAGAGTCTTCCCTGGTGGCAAATCAACAACACTCCAAGTGTGGTTGTCTTCAAGTGCTACAATCTCCAACTTCATTGCTGATATCCACTAAGGACACTACTAAAAAATCAGCTTTTACTGATGGACAAATTATGTAGCTAAGTAGAAAAATTTGTAGTTAATCTTATTTAGCGACGAATTAGCAACGGATTATCAAGAAATTCTGCTAGCTACGAGCATTTTAGCGACAGATTAGCGACAATATTTGTGGCTAATTTCAGTTTTTTTTGTAGTGGGATCATATGCAGCTTCTTTGAAGGAAGTTAGTTCTGAGAGAGCTGAATAAGCTGCAAGGACCTATTTGTATGATGGAGCAATAGAAGAGTAATCCGCATGGGAGGATATAGGGTAAGCACTGTTAGAGCCTTTAGAAGTAGTGACATAGTCTTGCAGCCAAAAAGGTGGCTTGCTTGGTCTAGAGGACCTTATTTGTTCAGTAGGAGGCTCAACAACTTGTGGAGAAGGTACATGTACAGTTTGAGTGACATTAGGCAAGTGATCCACAATAGAAGGAATCATAGAATTAGCTTCTTCTAAGTTGGTTGTGGAATGAAGGACTCTCTGAAAGAGATCTGTAGGCATCTGATCTAAACTAGAGCCAATAGAAAGCTCTGTTGCTGATGGTGCAGAATAAGAGGAAGGAATATTTCTCAAAGCAGGAGAGAGAAAGTCTAGGATAGGAAATATAGGAATTCTAGTAGTTGTGGCATGCTTAAAAGGAAAGATATCCTCTTGAAACACAACATTCCTATTGACAATGATTGTTTTTGAGTGCAGAGTATATAGCAAATAACCCTTCTAAGTGGAAGAGTATCCTAGAAATACAACAGGTACTGCTCCGGGTGAGAACTTATCCTGCACTTCGGGACAAGTTTTATAGAACAAACAACCAAAGACTTTGAGATGAGACAATAAAGGAGGGTGCAAATATAACATCTCAAATGATGATCTGTATCCAAAAACTTTAGAAGGAAGTCTACTGAGTAAATATACTGCAGTAGTAACATATTCTCCCCAAAATCTAAAAGGTACAACAACCTGAAATCTGAGGGGTCTAGCTACTTCCAAGATGGTTATGTGCTTTTTTCTGCTATCCCATTTTGTTGGGGTGTATAGACACATGTACTTTGATGGAAAATACCAAGATTAGACAGTAGAGTCTTAAATTCAGTGCTAAAAAACTCACTTCCATTATCAGTTCTTAGAAACTTTACAGTAGCTAGGAACACATTTTTTACTTGACTAAGAAAGCTTCTTCGAACTAAAATAGCTTATGACTTAGATTGTAACAGAAAAATCCAAGTATACCTTGTGTAATCATCAACTAGGGTAACAAAATATCTCTTAGTATCATGTATAGGTACTCTGTATGACCCCCATAGATCACAATGAATTAGCTCAAATGCTGTTTTGTAGTTGTACTACTTAGCTGAAAGTGCAGCTTGGTTTGCTTTGCTACTGGACACACAATGCAGTGATGAGGATCAACTGTTGTGAGTTTGCTGAACTCTTCTACTTTCTTTATTATATCTAAATGGGCATGTCCTAACCTTCTATGCCACAAAATACTAGAAACAGAAGTACAAGAAGAAACTGACATAAAGTTTATTATATTAGTACACTTATTTGTTGCCTAATATAGATCTTATTTTGGAATACCTCCATGTAAAATGTATAGACCATGTTCTTCTCTAGCAATCCCCTTCACCTGACAACTAAAGAGGTCCTGAAAAATGCAAAAATCAGGAAAGAATCCAACCATACACTTTAGTTCCTTGTGAGCTTTGAGACTAACAATAAGTTGAACTTAAAGTCAGGAATGTACAGAATATTAGAAATCTCTTGATTACTTAATATAGATGTGCAACCTGTGTGAGACATTGATACAACATTTTCAATAGGCAAATGTACTTTGTTTGCTTCTGTATTTGGAAGAGGTTTATGAGTATGCATCATCTCTAAACTTGAAGTCATGTGATTTGAAGCCCCAATGTCAACTATTCATTTACTATTGACACGTTGAGACATAAAAGCATTCACATGATTGAGAATACATGCTGCAACAACTTTGTTGGATAAGTATGATCCTTCTGAACTTCCTCTAGAAAACAGCTGAACAATTTGTTGGTATTGCTCAGAAGTGAAAATAGGATCTGGATGTGACATCTGCTGAAAAGTAACAGGTTGATTCATTTGCTGTGTAGCACCTGAACTAGATGATCCAGTGGCCGAAGGAGTCATGCTAGTAGCCATATTACATCTCTCCGCACCTGAAGTTTCTGCATTTCCTACACAATTGGCATGTTGTACTGTACTACCTCCTTTTCATTTGGCTTTGAAATCAGTGGGATACCCAATCAATTTGTAACAATTGTCCTTTGTTTGGCACAATCAATTTCACACTAAACTTGATTCCTTTTGGGCCTATAGTTTCCAGCATTGTTCACATTCCTACTGCTATACATGACAGCATTCTCCAAGGCTTCAGTGACCTGAGCAACTTGTGTTATGCTTGTGAGGTTCCTTCGACTTTTCTGATTTACTAACAAAGAGTAGGACTTGTTTATACTTCGTAGGGGAGACATCATCATAATTTGGCTCCTAGACTGAGAATAGGATTCATTCAACCCAATGAGGAATTGAAGAAGTCTTTGATACTCAAAATGTTGGGTATACTGTTTAGATTCAGAGCAAGGACAACCAGGACAGGGCATGAGAGTATCAAACTCATCCCATAGCTCTCTAAGCCTTGAAAAATAGCCAGTCACAATCATAGTTCCTTGAGTCAGGGTATGAACTTCTCTATGCAAATAGAGTATTCTCGAGCCATCTACTTTATCAAACCTCTCCTTCAAATCTTCCCAAACTGTATGATCACTAGATGGATACAACTCACTACTCAACAATCCTGGTCTAACAACATTCATTATCCACGAGAGAACTATAGCATTGACCTTTTCCCACAGATTATGACGCTCGGGTTCAAATTTAGATTTAGGAAATCTCCCATCGACAAAACCTACTTTACTTTTACCTAGCAGACCTATTCTCATTGCACTACTCCATAAGGCATAATTGTCTATCCAGTTAGTTGAAGAGAGATCAGAGAGCTACCTGGTGTGTTTGTTGGTTGCAGGTACAATGGGTGATTGTGATCGATAGTAGGAAAAGTGGCAGTTCCAGCCGTGAAATTGTCAGTAGTAGTCGTTGCACCAATTTGCTCATCTTCAGTCGCCATTGTTGACAGAAAAATTAGCTTCGAAGTAAGCAATTCGCAAACCCTAGATTCAACCAAACATTACTCTAGCTCAATTCAGCTCTCAATTGCAGAATTGAAGTAACGAAGAAGACTTGATTTTGCTTGCAATTCGCTTAGGTCTCAATCGGTAGCTCTGATACCATGTTAGCTGCCATGGGAGAGAGATCTGAGCTAGGAAGAAGAAGAATCTAGAAGAGAGGAAATCAGAGAAAGGCTATCTTCGTTTCTGAAAAAGAAGCTTAAGGCTAACTGTACAAACGACCACTACTTATAACAAACTCAAACTAACTTTCTTAACTAACTATTAACTAACTCACTAACTATAGTTTAGCATTACACTTTATAAATGAACTATGGTTAACCATGCTAATTAACAAAACTAATCACACATATATTATTAATCTCATGACAGTTTTTACATTATTATTCACTATATAAAATATAATCTTTATATTATATCGCCTCATAATTAAACCGTAAACTAAACTACCCTACACTACTGAACATCTGAGCAAGTCACAAATTAATTAAACTTGCAATTTACTTCGATAATCCATTATATTACCAGTGATCGATTACAAAAATAATATGTCGGGAAACACAGTATGTCCTGCTTCACGACAAACGCTTTCGTACAGATGTTATAAATTTGCATGAGATATGATTAAGAGATGATTAAATTTGAAATTAACAAAGAGTAGAAAAATCGTTATAGAAAGAAGACAAGATTGACAGTTATATGGCACAATTAATGTTTTTCCTCTAAAGATTTGACCACTCGTGATGTCAGATTTTTGTCTACTCACTATGTCTTGTTTTACATTTAGCTAACTATAATATGTTTTCAACAACAACAAAAAAATATAAAAACTATCATATGTTTGTACATTTGTCAACTTTGCACTACGTTAAATCTGATATCATTCAGTAAGAAAATGTTGAAAGTGATAGAATTTGGAACGTAGAGGTTCTTTAAGAGGGAAACATGAATTAAACCTCATTAGATCATTTTCATTGAATTGAATTTATTTTCTTTTAAAAAGAGAATAATTCTTTCGAAATAAGAGCGGTTTAAAATACGGTGTCATCGATCTAGATCTATTAGATAGCTGTCCAGCAGACATCTATTAATATTTGCTTCAGAAACAAACATTTTCTAGCTATGAATTTGTCAGCTCCATATGAACTATGACGAAATTCTAATCTATACACGTTAAGTATACTTAAAGAAAACCTCCATTATTATATTATGCTGATAAGTTAGATTGATTAATCCATATATGCATTATCTTTGTGGATTACTTTAATAGTTTTGCTTCTAGAACTAGAAGTACAATTTATTTGCTTTTCAATGCGACTTTGAGCGTAGACTAGTAATGCTTGTTAGCAGTCAGATGGAACTCAGAAGATCCCCAGAATTACTGGGAATACTCTTCCTGTTTTCCACTTTTTTTTTTACTCTTAATGAGAATTTTATACTTTGGGCCGTAGATCCAAAATTTGGACTGACACATGTTTAAATGGTCTGATATGTATAGTGAAAATTCATATATCTGAGCATGAAGCGTACGTATAGTTATTGCGGTGGTAGGTTGATCCGAAATTTTAAATTAATTAGAAAGCTTCTATTCATGCATGTACTATATTCTTTGTGTCACCTAAGCATTTTCTATTCCCTATTAATGTCTAATAGCCTGTTTGACCAAGATTCTAAAATCAATTTATTTTGAGAAATGCTTTTTGCAAAAGTACTTTTTCAAAAAAGTGATTTTGATGAGAAATAGTTTGTGTTTGGCTAATTAATTTGAAAAATACTTTTGATCAGTAATTAGTGTTTGGCCAAACTTTTAAAAACTACTTCTAAGTGTATTTTTCTCAAAAAGTGTTTGTGAGAAAAGTGAGTACTTTTGGAGAGAAGCTATTTTTTTTCGCTTCTCAAAAAATGCTTCTGCTTCTCCTCAAAAGTATTTTTTTTCCCTTCTAAAAGCTTGACCAAACACCTCAATTTTTCACCAAATCACTTTTGATAAAAAAAGCACTTTTGATCCAAAAAAGCCTGGCCAAACATGCTATGAGAGTCGATACTCAAGTTGCAATAGTCAAATCCCTGTAAGCATAAGACTATTACTACCAATTAAGCAATTTCTACTCCATGTTAACTATACTTATAGAAAGAAAAAAATGAGTGTTTTCTTCAGTTTTACATGTGCACACTTTTAGTGTGATGACCCAGAAGGTCATCTTATGTTTTAGAACTCGATTTGGTATTTCGAGACCTTTAAAACCTCATTTATTCTTCCTCGATTTGCGTGCATAGTCCGGGCGTGTTTCCAGAAAGCTTTTATGTTGAAAGTTGAAATAAGGAATTTTTCTTTAAAACCTCATTTGAGTTGACTTCGGTCAATTTTTTTGGTAAACGGAGTCAGACTCATATTTTGACAGTCCTGGTGAGTTCGTATCGAAATATGGGACCTAGGCGTATGCCCAAAATCGAATTCCTAGGTCCCTAGCTCGAGATATGAATTTTTGTTGAAAATTAAAAGAGTTAAAATCTAATGGTTCTAAGAATTTGGTTAATGTTTGATCTTGTTGGTATCGGGTCCGTATTTTGATTCCAGAGCCCGGTACAGATTCATTATGATATTTAAGACTTGTCTGTGAAATTTGGTGAGAAACAAAGTTGGTTTGACGTGATTCGGATGTCCAGTTGTGAAAATAGAGGTTTTAAAACTTTCTTGAAAATTTCATTCAATTTGGTGCTAAATTCGTAGTTATAGGTATTATTTTGGCGATTTGATCACGCGAGCAAGTTCGTATAATATTTTAGGACTTGTGTGCATTTTTGGTTTGGAGCCCCAAGGGTTCGGGTTCGAATAGGCTACAAGATGTTTAGAACTTAGAAAATCTAGTTTTTTTGGCTTCAGCTGATATCTGGTTGTCCTTTATCGCGTTCGCGGAGGTACTCTCACAAACGCGAAAGGTGAAATAAAGGGCAGGGTATTTTCCTCTTCGCAAACGCGAAGGCTTGGTTGCGAACGCGGAGCGCTGGGGCATTACCCTTCGCGAACGCGACCAGGCTCTCGCGAACGCGTAGTGTAAGGGACCTGGGGGAGGGGAAAACCGTTCTTCTACGCAAATGCGAGCATTAGCTCGCGAACACAAAGGCCATGAGGAGCAGCCTTTGCAAACGCGTGGTAGGACTCGCGAACGCGTAGGACTTTTGGGCCCCTGCCTTTCGTGATCGCGGCAGACCCTTCGTGAACGCGAAGAAGATCTAACGCCTGTGATTTAAAATAGAACAATGATGGGATTTTCTCAAACTTTCACAACTTTTTCATTAGAACTCGACCTAGGAGCGATTTTTGAAGGGAATATTCAACACTAAATCATAGGTTTTTACTCTTTAACTCATTTTCTTCCATTTCTAACATCACCCATTGAATTCCTAGCCCTAATCTTTGTTCTTTCATGGTAGAAACGTAGGGATTTAGGAAGAATTGGGAATTTTTGCAAATTGGGGATTTAGACCTCGATTTGAGGTCGGATTCCAAAACTAATTATATATACGGTCTCGACAGTGTATGGGTAACTGGATTTTGGTCCGGACCTCGGTTTTGACCAAGCGGGCCCGGGATCGATTTTTGACTTTTTAGGAGAAAGTTTGGGAAATCTAAATTTATGCATTATAGTTGATTCCTTTAGCAATAATTGATGTTATTGAGTTAATTGTGGCTTAATACGAGTGGTTCAGAGGTAGATACTAGAGGAAAAACGATAATTGAGCATTGAGTGGCCCGCGGAGGCGAGGTAAGTCGTCGTTATTAACCTTGGCTTGAGGAATCAGGTATTGTTTGCCTATTTGCTACGTGTTTGAATGCTGAGTACAACGTATAGGTGAGGTGATGAGTACCTATGGGTTGTTGTTGGGTCATAGCATGCTAGTGAGTCTTATTCATAAAATTGTAGCTTTCCGTGATCATATTTTTCATGCTTAGACTAGTTTATTGTTATGTTGATCATTCTTATCATATGTACGAATTTTGGTATTGATTGAGTACTAACTCAAAGTCGAGGTGGATATTGTAGAACCAAATGTTGAACTAAGACTAATTGTTGTCATTTCTATCTCCCTATTATCATTATTCCTTGTTTTGGCGAGGGAGAGTGTTAATACACGAAGGGTGATACCGTGCCATATTTTGAGAGAGTTAATGCACGAAGGGTGATGTTGTGCCATGTTTTAAGAGAGTTAATGCACGAATGGTGATATTGTTCCAATTCTTACTTGATTTATATGGTGAGGTTGAGAGTAAAAGCACGAAGGGTGATGCCGTGCGTTTTTCATTACTGTGCTTACTTGTTTTTACTGGTTCAAGGTGTATTAGCTGCTCAAGTTTCTTTACTGCTGTGATTCTTTATCTTGTAATCCCCTCAGCATGTCCCCTCCCGATATTACCTGTCTACCTCTTATTTGCAGTTATCTTTTACATTTTCTGTTAAATTATTGCACAGGGTTATTATGTATGTGTCTTGTCCTAGCCTCGTCTTTACTTCGCTGAGGTTAGGCTCGTCACTTATCAGTACATGGGGTCGGTTGTACTGATATTACATTGCATTTCTATGCAGATTTTGGTACTAGCCTGAGTTGACCTCGAGTTTAGCAGCTGGACTTGATCGACAGGAGACCAAGGTAGATTTGCTGGAGTCCGCAAACCTTGGAGTCTTTTCCTAGACTTGTTATTTTACTATTTCTTTCCTTTCAGCACAATGTATTATCTTTCAGACTCTGTTTGTAGTAAATCGTAGTAGCTCGTGAGTTGTGACTCCAGATCCTAAATATTTCAGTTATCTTGGGTTTTATAATAATCCAGAAACTCTGTTTAGCTTAATTAAGTTCTGTTGTTAAATTGGCTGAAGTTGATTTTGTGAATTCTCTAACGTTGGCTTGTCTAGCAAGTAAAATGTTAGGCGCCATCACG